GTGGCATTTTCCATCTCCAAAATGATTTCCCACTGAATGGTAGCAATCCTGCATGATGAGCTTTCACAGAGCGAACGCCACTTGCTTCTCAACTGTCAGTGCAGCTCTCATTCTGGTGTCCCTGCACTGAAGGGCTGGTGCAAGCTCAGCCCACAGATCCAGAAGTGTGCGCTGTAGCAGCCAAAAGTTCTGCAGCCACTTCTCATCATCCCAGTCCTGCATTACGATGCAATCCCACCAGTCAGTGTTTGTTTCTCAGACCCATAAGCAGCACTGCATCTGCTCCATGAATGTCAACAACAACCTTAAACTGGTTTTCACTATGTCCCAGAGCAATCTGTCTTCCACAAAATTGTCATGTTCCCCCATTGTTGCGGTTCTTCCTGCAGCTTTGCAAATACTGAAGGATTCTTCATCCTGTGTTTGCAATGCTCATGACAATAGTGCAGAGCTGTGAGGGCTCCATGCTTCTGTCAGAGAAGGCGGAAAGTGAGAAGTGCTATGCAGCTTTGGGTTTTTTTTAAAAAAGGTACAAAAATTATGGGATGTGGATGGCATTATGGGATGGAGAAAGTTGCATGATGGGAACTTAATCCCTTGCTTCCAGTCACCTCTGAAGCATCGAGCATCACCGTTTCCCAAAAGACAGCGTGCCAGATAATGGCGAGTTGCCCATTGGAATTTCTATCCTGATGCAACAGAGAGTGCATCCACACAAGAACTCCAGGTGAGTATGCACAGTGCAAGGAGCCATGTATGCACACCTATCAATCTGAATAGGGTTTTAACTCAACCCACCAAGCTCACAACATCTCTTCCCACCTCAGCTTTGTACATCATCCTGATGAGGCCTAAAATGGTGACACTCACCAATCAGCCCAAGGAGAAATCAGTAATTTAACAAATTAAAAATGATACAAGTTAACTATTCACACATGTACAGTGTCTTTCTATCAAGATGTTTTTCACATTACCAGCCCAAAATAATTTTATTCCCACCCAAATCTCTTTGGGGCTTTTCTCTCCCTGGGTTTCTTTTCAGTCAGCCTCTGAGGGACACCTACTGTTTCTGTGGAATTTGCTGGCTGAAGCAGACCCTGCTCATTTTATTCTAATGATGAATTCACTTCTGTAACAACTTTTCAAGACTCAACTTCCACAGCTACATTCTCAGATTCAGAGGGCAGCCAAAGTGAATTCTGTCCCCCTGATATCTTCTCAAATAGTCTTTATGGATAACTTTTGGTTTAGTTTTGGGCCCGAACTGTGTTCTTGTACAGCACTTCATTGATTTGGGTCAGTACTGCATAGGGTCCTTGTCAAGGTTCATCCAATTTAGGGCTCCTACCCTTCTTTCTTCTAGGACTGTAGAACCAGAGAGAGTGCCTTCTTTTAAAAATTTCCCCGTATGACCTTACATCATACAGCCTTTCCATTTTGTCAGAGGCTACCTTCCAAAGGTATGAACTTTTTCACTTTTAGATTGTAGGGTTTCTACATAGTTTAACTCCCTTTGCTACTCTTCAGGAACTCCACACAAGAGGTTTGCTGCGGTCCTTAGTTCATGTCCAAACATGAGGGCTGCAGTACATTTTGTACTCTCTTTGACTGCTGTTCTATAAGCCATGAAAAGAAATGAGATATGCTAGTCCCAGTCCTTTTGGTACTGTTCTACAAATGTAGCCAGCTGAAGCCCCAGATTCCTATTGAACCTTCCCACCATCCCATCAGATTGTGGGTGTGCTTGGTTGATCCTTGTACCTCCGTGCTTTGCCCCTTCATCTTGATGTCCCCCCATTTCTCCTACTAGGAGAAAGGCTTTCACTAGACACTTATGCCAGTCTGTGCTGGCCCATCTTAAATTTACAACAATCCTTTTTGTGGCCAGTTTTGTCACAGTACCAGCATTTAACTGAACTGTTTCCTTTAATTTTTGAATTGTTGCCAGTTTCCTTTGTTTTACAAACCAAATTTATCATTTGTTCTAATTGTTCAATACAGTAATGAACCAGATTAAAATCCCCTCTTTCATCATACATGTTAGATCCAGAGCCATACTTACAGGGTTTATGACAGTGAGTTTCCATCTTCCTCACTAGCAGCTGCTTCCTCTTCTGATGAACTGCTGCAAGAAAAGATTTAGGTTCTGTGGCAAATTCCACAGCCTCTCAGAATGTGTCTTTGGCCTCTTTTCACTGATCTTGATCTGCAAGTCCAAGTCCAGCTGAGCATGTATAAATTGGTCCATTGCTAATCTATGCATCAGTGGCACCAGGATATGCCAGGAACACAAGCCTCTTGCAGGTCCTCTTCCAGTTCAGGTGGGGTCTCTTCTTTCCCCCTCCTTCTAAGTCTTAGCGCTGGGCTATCCAAATTGACTGCTAGTGACCCCCTTTTCTGATCATCTTCCCCATAAACTATGTTGTTGGATTGAGCCAAATAAGCCTCCCAGGGAGTTTTCCCCTCAAAAATATAATGGGTTTTTGCATCACTGGAGCTGGGACAGCCCAACCACTCCCTTCTGGGCCTCTGTAGATAGAAAATTGTCATCTTCTAGAGGCTCAATTTCTCATCCAGGTGGCTGTGTTCCATTGTGATCTGTGACTCCTTGATTTCCTTCTGGAGCTTAATTTTCAGATTCTTGAGTCATTGCAGGAGCTCATCTCTGTTATCAAGTTTCAAGCAGGTTAATGCTTGCCTCGTCTCCACTACTTCATGGAAAAAAACTTCTAGTTTGTGGCAGTCAGGTTACTGGTCACCTGTTTGATCTGTCTTCCCATTCCATTCAGGGAACTTTGCAACTGGGCTTCCCAACCTGATGGGCTCTTTGTAGTTGCTGGGCTCTTTGTAGAGACTTGACCTCCGCCTGCATGTCAACCCGCAGTCCTTTCTGGGAATCCTCCAGATGATGGTTTAGTTCCTTTTGTGAAGCCTCCAGCTCTTGTTTTAAATTATTTTGTGGAGCCTCCAACTCCTGTTTCAGGACTTGTTTTAAATCCCGCTGGCCAGTTTTGATTTATGCGAGCTAACAACCTCTCTCCTTGGACACTGGATCTTGCTCCTGAAATCAACGTTGCCTCTTCTCAATCTGAGCGGCTAGTCACATCCTTGGGGATGTTCCAGCTGGAAGTAGAAACTGATGGAGTTTGGTATTCTTTTTGATGCATGTACAAAGTCCTTGCTCCCCAAATGCAGGAGGAACCAAGAACAAAAGGATCAATTTCTTACCTTACAACCCCAAGCCTCTTTAGCCAACCAACCCAAAAGCGCTCTCTAGTTTTTTCCAGGGTCACACTGTGTTCAGGCTATTGCTTGGCTTTCTTGTTTTTAGCCTCTGCTTCTCTCTCTGTTCTTGTCTTTTTCAGTCTTTTGTCTCTTCTGCCTTCACACAAACACACATTCTCCCTACCCAAAATAATACTTCACCAAAAGCTTCTGGGTGGGCTCACCCTCCTTTTATTTTAGGTGGGGGTTTATGCTTACAGTTACGTTAATTGAAGGGTTAGTTCACACCTACCATTCTGAATAGGGTTTTAACTCAAACCAAGGTTTCACCCAGCTCATAAAAGAACTTAAACAGCATTTTACAGACATTAATTAAGCCTGTCCTAACTCTGAGGTTTATTAAGTCTTCCGTATGGCAGAAATTTGTGTTGCCAACTCAGGGCTTGGCTACACTTACATTTTATAGCACTCTAACTTGCTGGCTCAGGGGTGTGAAAAATCACCCCCTAGCGCGCAGCAAGTCGGAGTGCTTTAAAGCGCTACTGTAAACAGGCTCCGAGTGCTGGGAGCTGATCCCCTCACGGAGGTGGATTACCAGAAGCACTGGGAGAGCTCTCCCCCAGCGCTCGCGCACGACCACACTCGCACTTCAAAGTGCTGCCGCGGGAGCACTCCTGTCACACTGCTTTGAAGTTTCCAGTGTAGCCATGCCCTAGGTGAGCTGTACTCAGCTGTATGAATGGTCATTATATTATTGTCCTAGAATGATATCAGACGACACTATGGTGCTGAAGAGGCCATTTGGATGACATATTAAATTGGCCCTGCCTTCTTGTGGTCATTACAAAACCCATGGCACTTCTCCCCAGTTCTTATTACAGGTTCTTCACTTTCTATTCTGAATGGCTGTAATGTGTTAGAAAGCTGAGGTGTTTCACGCTCAAACTGGCTGCGTTTCAGTGGTAGATGAAGTGATCCTTATATGTAGTTTATATTTCAGTGTTACATTTATAAAGCTCTTTGGGATCCTGCAGAATGAAAGGCACTACTATAAAGTATTCTGAATCTGAAAAATGCTAATTTGAAAAGGTTTAATATAACTACAGATAAGAATCCCGAGTGACGAGTATTGTAACAGCTCTTTGACAAATCAAGTGTTAACTTGTGCATCTTTAGTACTTTTATCATGTTTTACAAGCCATTTTGCTCAGCCCAGCGATCTGAGAGTGCAAATTGTAAGAAGCACTTGTGAAACTGTGGAATGTATTTTAAAACAAAATATTTAAGTCAAATGTTGGTGCCAGACAACTTTCTAGAAATATGACCCTGTCAGTATAGGAGCTATAGAAAGAAGTTATAATGTTAAATACAGGGCCAGATTCTCAGCTCGTGCAAATCAATGTAGTTCTATTGAGAATCTTGTTCATATTTTTATATATATAAAAATTATTATATTATATATTTAAATATATAAAATATTATATATTTTATAGTTTTAATGTTTATCTGGAAAAGCTCAGGGCAATTCTTAAATACAAAATACTTCTTAAGTAAAATTCTTTGAATTTTCTATGCAAATACCTGGATCTCAGCCGAACCATTACTGCAAGATTAGAAACACGGTTGTAACTTTTTATGAAACATGAAACCTACGATTCTATAGGGGAGTGGAGTGACACTGACTTTGTTCATATGAATTGGTGACCCACTGCAGATAATGGAGAACGCAGATTTAAAAAATAAATGAAATCAACCAAACCATTAAAGAAACTCACCATAATGATTGGTCCTTTTGCCTGGGTCATGTTTTGGACAGAACACTCTAAAACATTGGTTCAATTTTAAAAGAGAGAGAAACAGTATTAATTAATATGTAAACAATGTTATACTAACTTTGATTTTCAAGATATTTTCCCTCTTTTCACCAGCACCTATACTAATGACACAAAAAAATCTGAACACAAAACTGAACCTGTTTAAAACTGAAATTTGAGCATTATCTTCCTCAGCTATGAAATCTGACCATGTAGAGCCTTACCGCAGGCACTTTTATAATACACACTCCTGTTATTTCATTTGTAAAGCTTGACTAGATTCAAATGCTGTTATGGTACAGTTTTGAACTAACTGCTAATCCACCATGTTCTCTTGTGACATACCCCTACCCATTGCTTAGGCAGAGTGGCCAACAGCTGCTTATTCCATTAATTCCTTTTTACCTGATTTAGAGAGTTCAGCAATAGGGGAAAAAATCCCCGCCGCCCACAATTGTTGCAGATTTTAGGAGAGAAACATGGATCTATTATAAGAGACCAAGGACAGGTACAGTAAATAATAATCGTGTTTACCAGAAGGTGAAGAATATATTACAGTTGCTTTCCTGAAAAACACAAAACAACTGTCCACCATTTATAGAACACCTTTCTTCCAGAAGGATCCCAATGCACTTTTCAAACTGTATTACAATGCTGGAGTTATGGCTGAGATGGCCTATTTTCAGAAACTAGCACTGAAATGTTTTGAAGAAATTATTGTCAAACACAGAGGTGCAATAATGTACTTTGCATTTTCTAGGGTTTTTTTTAACCCAGCCCTAATTTTAAAGGTCAACATTTTGTTCTTTTATAAAAATGAGGCCTACTTTTGTATGTGCAACTACTGTGACTGTTCATTTTCTCACACAAATACCAGATGTGTGCACATTCAATAATTAAATCCAGAAAGCTAGGTATGGAATTGCACGTTAAAAATAATTAGCCCCATTTATACCACAACATTTTTATTTTTTTAATAGCCCACAGCCCTATCTGGTTCTTTCCTAATTAACATGTTTTAAAATAAAATTAACACATTTTAACACATTTTTAATAACCAATTCACATATTTATAATCCCTCCACCCTTTATCATCCTGGTTACCCACTTCTGGAGCATTTCCAACGCTCCCGTACTCTTTCTACAAATGAGCGCCCCAAGTTATGCTAAATTCTGCAGCTGTTTTCTTTATATAGTGCCATAATGACCGCTTTTCATTTTTGTTCTATTCCATTTGCTTTCCTAATCACACTAGTCACCATGCTGATGGTTTTAAGTTCTAAATCCCCATCAGAGTCATATCCATTTAAGACATTATCCCTTTTGACACAATACTCCTTACTTTACATTTTTTCCATGCACAGTTGCATGTGTTGCCAATCCATGCCCACAATTTTTCATGTCTCTAATTTCTCCACTCTTGGGCTGACCCTCCTAGGTTTGTGTTAACTTCAAACTTGTGCACACTGCTGCATGTCCCTTTATGTGCATCACTGATGTATAATTAGGGCCCTGCCAAATTCACAGTCCATTTTGGTCAGTTTCACCGCCAGGGGGTTTTAAATTAGTCAAGATGACGTTTTCAGACTTTTACATGGTGTTGGAACCGTGGGTGTCCTGACCCAAAAGGGGGTCTGGGTGGGAGGGTTCCAAAGCTATTGTAGGGGAGTTGTGAGATTGCCTCCCTTACGTCTGCCCTGCTGCTGGCAGGGGCACTGCATTCAGAGCTGGGCAGCCAGAGAGGAAAGCTGCTGGCCAGGTGCCCAGCTCTAAAGCCAGTGCCACGACCAGCAGTGCGGGTCACAGGGTATGGGGTGTATGTGTGTGTTACCATAGCAGTTATGGTTTTCTCAGCAGTCTCCCCTGAGTGGGCTGCTGACAGCTGGGGCCGCAGCCTCTCCATACGGAGTGGTGACAGCTGGAGCTGCCAGCTTCTTGCAGCCGGGGGAGATCCTGGAGGTCAGTCTGACCCACCCCGGGAGTGGCCCTGAAGGGAAAGAGGAAGTCTCGTCTCTCCCCATCCCCAGCCGGGACTAGCAGCTGGAGCCCTGTGCAGGGTAGGCGCTCCAGGCTGCATGCCAGATTTCACGGTGGAGATCAGATTTCATGGTCCGTGATTCATTTTTCACAGCCATGAATTTGATAGGGCACTATGTATAATGCAAAAAAAAAGTTTGGGTCCAATCCCCACATTTTCCCCCTCACCTTGCTCCTATCTAATCTGTATCAATGTATCATTCTTGGCCTTGGATTTAGAAATTTGGTACCAATGCTATGCTCCTCAACTTAATGAGTGTTTAATGTGAGAACATACTAAAAGTCTTAAAGTCCTCATCAGTTATGTCTCACGTTTAATAGTTTTCATTGTCACAGGTCCTTGCAGAAATTAATCAAATTCTAAGCACAACCACCTCTTGATAAATTTGGAGCTATCTGATTCATTTTTTAACAGCTGTTCAATGATAGGTTTTCAGGATGCAGAAATTGAATCCTGGAGTTTATTTTGGGCCAACATATTTTTTTCACACCTTCTAAAGCCATCCTACATCAGCCATGCTTTGTCTTCTGCTCTCAGAAAGTTTCTCTTTTAGGTTTAGGCTACTCTTCTTCGTCAGCTATCACTCAAAGATTCTGAACTGAGGTCTCTAGAATGTTTTATAACGTACTAATGTTTAACAAGTTAAACATCACATCATCTCCATTTTACAGTTGGAGAAACTAAGTCTCACAGAGCTTGTCACTTGTTTAGCATCACATACCAAGCCAGTGGCAGAGACAGTTAAATTGCTACTGGAATCAGTGGGAAAGGACTATTTTTGTGCTTGTGAAACATGCCAGATTGACAGCCCTATCAAATAACCCAATGGTGCATGTATTTTGTCATATGAAGACCCATACTGGTTGTAGTGCCTTGCCTCTTCCTGGAAGAGGTAACAAGAATAAAGTCCACACCCTCAATGACAGAGTAAGCGTTAACTGTGACCATTCTTTAGCACAGAAACAGGTGCCGTGGATTCTCAGCACTCCAAACTTTACCAAAATATATTGGCAACCTCCACAGTCAGCTGCAATCCCAACATTTGGAACGATGAGGGAGAACCTCTTTTCTTTGAGCAACCAGCACCATCTCCGGCTGTAATGTTACAAAATTCTAGTATATGCTTATAACACCATTACAGTGGGGTTGGAAGGCATTTAGAAGACTTGCTCAAAGCTAATTCAATTCTGCTGGTATTGGGAACACATATGAAATATGAGAAGTTCTTTTGTATGGGGACACAAAGTTTTCCATGAGCATTCCGGGTGCTGAACCGGAGGGGAAACTACCAAAGCTCTCTAATGTAGATGGTCTTAGAGAGCGCGGCAGTGTCCTTGTACTGAGACTATTCACTAAAGCATGTGAACCAGGAGTAAACCTTAATTTGGGTGAAACCAGTATTCCACCTTGTGGGGCAGAAAACTTTGTCTTTACTGACCAGATGGCTAACGAAAACTGCATCTCAAATTTAGCTCCATGGTCTTTTGGGATTCTGTCAGACTCATGGATATTGTCACAGGGTGATTGTCCCTTTAAAGGGAGAAGACCCAGGAAAGAGAAACAGCGGGAATTTCCTCTTTCTGGGAAGGCCCTCCTGGAGGCAGGCTGGAAAGAACCCCAGGGAGCTGGATAGCTCCTGTGGGAGGTCCTGAGATAGGGCCTGAAAGGAGCAGGGAGATCCCTGAGAGAAGCTGCCAGAGTCCCTGGGGAGGGAAGGCAGTGGGGAAGCCTGCTAAGAAAGGCCTCCAGGGAATAAGCCCTGGAAAGCAGTGCTCAGCCTAAGTGCAAAGAAGGAACTCCAGGAGTAAGAGGTGCAGAGCATGGAACTTCAACATAGCGTGAAGGGGCAGAAGGATCATCTGTGTGGAGGTTTATTTGCATTCTTTAGCTGGACTTTTGTTACCCTGGATGGAGACAGAACTTAAATATGACCTAACCAGAAGGCCGGGCTGTGAAAGATAAATAGAGACAGAACATCAACGGCGCCAAAGATGTTATGGTCAATGGGTGCTAGAGACAATGACTCCTGCAGCACCACAACCTGATACCAGCATGAGCTACTACAGTGAGTGGAACCATCTATAGATTCCTGTCATTAAGTGGAGTTTTTTTTCCATTGCTGTGCTAGACAGGAACATTTTTTCTACTGCTCTCAAACACACAGAGTTTCAAACATGGCTGGATTGCGAAGGACTCTTTTGGGAGACATACACGTCAATGTTTTCCGCATTTAAAAAAAAAATTAACCTCTTTTCTGACAATACCACCACAACCTACAAAAAATTAGAAAATGGTTTGTTAAATACCGGTAAATTCCTTGCCCTCCATCAGTTTCTAATGCTGCATCATCACACAGTGCACAAAAGTAGTGGTAACTCCTGCGGCAGGTTTTTATCTCGCATCCCACAGTGGCTCCTTTCTTGCGACAGAAGTTGCACATCTACAGCAGAAGGAGTTCAGTCGTTAGCAGATACAGACATTTTATAATTAGTAACTAAAATCTTATACTTGAGAGTAAATAGCTTCATCAGTGAACGTGCTTAAATCTTTAACTCTCAGCCTCCCTCTTCCTGTTCGTCATGCAAACTCACTCCTCCAAACCCAAACGCAGCTCATTTTTCAACCAACTTTCTATTATTCTCTCTGCTCTTACACAATTATATTAAAATCAGTTAATATTCTTAGAAGTGACTCAATGATAGTGAGAGTATTGGGCTTCACATCTGTAAATATTTCACATTAAATTTGCTCAGTTTACAAGTATAGAGATGTTGGGAACAGTTTTCAAAAACGCCCAAGTTCCACTTTCAAAAGTGACTTCAAAAGCAAAAGGACTAGAAACTTAGCTCTCATTTTAAAAAAAAAATCCTTTCCTTTTCTAGGTTCCACAGATCAGGAGGTTACTTATGTGTAAGCTTAGCAGGACCCAAAATCTGCCCTCTGCCAAAGAATGCCTTTTCTTAGAAAGGAACCAAAACAGCCTTAACTTCTACTGCCAGACAAAAGTGGCTATACACGTTAGGTTCCACTCAGTGCAGAAGCAGACTAATGTTTCTGACCTTTAATTACTCTGATCTTTGGTAAGTCAAAATGACTGGGTTCTTGTATGCATTTTATTCAAGCTTCTATGTCACAAGGTCATATAAATGTCAGAAACAGACTTCACAGTCTAATGTGCTGCTGTTATTACTAAAAATTATAAACAAGAAAATATTTGAAAGAAGCTGCCTTACCAGCCGCTTTCCTCTCCTGATTTCACTCTGAACTGAGGCCACATCAAACCTTGTATCCTGATTCTCTGGGTTATGCTCTTCGGATTCTACAAATCCTGAGGAATATAACTACAAACAAAACAAAAGACAGCAGTAATTAACAGAGTGACTCAGCCAGCGAGAGACTCTGATGTGTATCAGTAAGGAATGATAGAAAGTAGATGGGGCTTCAGTTCAGTGTCAGACATGAGACCTGGGCACTTTAAAAAAAAAAATCTGCATTTTTCCCCACCCCACAAAACCACCTAGGGGGGCGAATTTTTATTTCTTTGTTTTTAACAAACATTGTCCCATATTGAGTGGGGGAGCACTGCTTAGCTTTTCCATCCTTCTACAAGTCAGGGCCAGTGATACTAGACTCCACCAACTGTTAAAGGAGGTTTCACATGAAGGGAACATGGCATTTTTACAGGGCTCATCAAGGAGGCCATCATCCTAGCCAGGCCCTCTTTTGCCAGTTAGCCCAGCAGGTTTGACAGAGCTCAGGATCTTTCAGAAGAGACTCAGTTGGAAGTGACAACAGAATTAACACTGGCAATGTGATACCAGGCAAAGACTGGCAATGAATTGTTGGAGAAGCAACTTAAATAGGTTGAACAATGGCTGGCAAAATACCGCAGAAATGTATGCATGAATACCTGTTGATGTACTAGACTATGACAACAAATTAGAAGGGATAATTAATTAATTAACAACTATATTTGATTATGAGAAAATAAATGATCATACTTAAACAAAACCTAGCACCAAAACTGTTACTTAAAATACATGATAAATTTATAAGAAGACACAAAGCTTGGTCAGCTAAAGAAATAAGAACATACAGTTAGAGATAAGAAGCCACTTAGCACACATTACTATGGGTTCAGAGAGACTAGTAAAGCTGTAACAATGTTGCTATACCAACAGTGGTTTGCTTTCAAGAATCTGAATGTTTGTTTGAAACATATAACACTGTAAAATGAAAAATAAAAGTAATCAAATTAATAAAGATACAAACACAATGTAGCAAGAACAATAAGATAGCTGATCTATAAGAGGGAGAAATAAAAGAGGAGCAAAGGATTTGCGACTTATGATATCAAAAAAAGGAAAGCTTCAATTTAATGTAATAGGTATCCTACACACTAAAATATAAAGGTATAGCTGTGGAAAGTGACTGCAAAGATGGCACCTTTTAACTTAAAAGATCTGCTCTCTGTGAGTTTAAAAAATTTAATGACATTTTTTTCATATTACTTTTCTCCCGATACTACAGCAGAACAAACAAATTTAGGAAGAAGGTTCTCATAAAAGTATACAGAATAGTTAACTAAGTTCCAATGGTGGAGCCAAATTTTTCCCTTAGTTACTCCTAGCTGAGGGGCAGAATATGATGTCCAGAATCTTTATTATTGGTGCTGATGTGAAAGAAGGAAAGATCCCAGGGTAAGATTGCAGGGCTAGCAGATAGAAGACAGATTTTATTTGCAAACTGAGTAAATTTGTTCTAGAACCACACTAAACCTAGAACCTCACAAGGACATTTTTACATAGCCAATTCTTAAATTAAAACCACACTTAATTATTCCTTATATTTAAGACACACACAAGAAGCTGCCATTTTGCCACTTTGATCATGCAAATTATAGCCCTGATCCTGCAAAGACTAAGGACATGTTTACCTTTTCGAACTGTAAGGAGTCTGATTCAATTACTTCAATTGAGATTACTCATATTATATCAAATTTAGCACATGCACAAGTCTTTGCAGGATCGGCCCAGGGACTGAAGAACCTGTTTTGCCATTCAAAATCACTGGAAGTCAAAGGGTTTCAAAGTTGTTGCGAAACAAGTTCATTTTTGTTCTGAATTCTTACCTAATGTTAAGGCACTTTCTATAGTTTCTAAATTTAATAATGGCTAACCAAAATACTGAACTTGTTTTGAACTCTGAAATCCTTTGACTGCCAGGGTTTTTTTTTTTTAAGTGACAAACCACATATTTTCAGTCCTGCTTTTTTGTTGTCCTTCCCTCTACTGCCTACCCAGACCCCTGGGCCCTGTTCAGCATTGTCCTGTAACTTATGTAGCTAGTTATACCAATGAAAATTGGATGTAAAATGCTACTATTCTGATTTAGTAACATTTTACAGTCACTTTGCACTGGTGTAAAGTGACTATACAAAGAGGGAAGCAATGATGACTCGTTTTTACTCTTTCTACACTCCATCCCAACTCCTGAATTATTATTCGTATTCCCCTCCACCTCAATGCACCAACCATTTGGACAAGTAAAAAAATATAACTGTCTGAAGTTCTAATCATTGGAACTCCAGAAGACCATGAAATTGTAGATCATTCACTGCCTTCTGAAATAGAGAGGGAAAGAGTTCTCTTTTCTTCTAGAGCAGGCTCTCAACCTTTCCAGACTACTGTACCCCTTGCAGGAGTCTGATTTGTCTTGTGTACCCCAAAGTTCCACCTCACTTAAAAACTACTTGCTTACAAAATCAGATGTAGTGTCACAGCACACTATTACTGAAAAAGTTCTTACTTTCTCATTTTTACCATATAATTATAAAGTAAATCGATCGGACCACAAATGAAATACATTTCAGTGTATAGTATATAGAGCAGTATAAACAAATCATTGTGTGAAATTGTAGTTTGCACTGACTTCGCTAGTGCTTTTTATCCAGCCTATTGTAAAACTAGGCAAATATCTAGATGAGTTGATGTACCCCCTGAAGACCTCTGCGTATCCCCAGCATACACATACCCCCAGTTGAGAACCACGGTTCTAGAGTAGACAATTATGTACAATGTCCATATTGTCTTTGAAATTTTTCCTTTTGGTCCTTCTTGATTCCTTTAATAGTATTCATATGTTAAGAAAAACTCTCACCAAACAATTCTGATGAACTGCAAGATTCTGCTTTTCTGCAATGTACATTATAGCACACTCTTCATCTGCTGGACAAAATGCACACTTCCTTTTTACCATCTTCTCCATTATGTGGAAGTCACCTGGAGAGAGACTGTTGAACGAAACATAAAACTGTTAATGCAATCATCCTATACCAGCTGGGAGGAATACGGAGAGTGTAGCTGATGAGGGCCCACAGCATTTCCAGATCTAGCTTCTATTTCACTTGCATCCCAGCAGACTTTGTGCCCAGCCACTCTAGCAGTGATTGACTGGCATGAGTAAAACTTGACTTGCTGAGATAAAAACAGAATACAGGTTAGCTGCTAGAGGCTCTAGCAATTGGGATTGGAGGAATGAGAACTAGGATTTTTTTCTTGGAAAGTCACTGGTGGAAGCAGGGACCAATATGAAAACTTCCAAACTTGCTCAACAATACATGGCTCAGTGAAGAACATTTCATGCAGATACCAACAACCTTGCATGGGCTTGTGAGTCACTTCATATAATGTGAAGTACTTTTAGTTTAGAAGATATTAGTCTGCTACCATCAGCACCTCAAGCTTGTTCTTTCACACATCTAACCGCAGCTGCATTAAAGTATCTGTCACAGTTTAAATAAGCAAAGTAGTACCGCCAGCTCCCACAAATATCCTCCCTGAGTTCACAGGAAAGAAGGAGGGAATGTTGTTTCTTTAACATAATGGGATTACAGAAAAGAGATTTGCAAGTAAAAAAGGGAAAGGAAAAGACAGGAAGGTGAAATTAGATGGTTCCTCAATAACAGATGGAAGTTAGAGGTCTAGAACCACGGCCACTGAAACATTGTCAAGGCCAGCACCACCTTGGGTAATACCTATTTTCTATACACCAGAAAAATTTTAAACCCCTTGTTACAGTGAATCTCTACTCTCCTTTCTGTCCTTATCCTTCCAGTGTTTGCCTTCTCATCCTCTTTTGCCTTCCCACATTGTCTCATTTTTCTTATCTGGCAGCTGCAATAATTTTTAAAGGCCATCTGCAAATAAAAGTCATAATTCAAACTCTTTCAGTACAATGTGTCCAGTGTCCCCAAGGACCCAGTAAGATGTTCATTCAACACACCAGTAATATAAACTTCACTTTTTCTGTTGTCATGCAAGTCCCCGACACTCAGATCCTCAGCAACTGCTAGTTCCCACTAGGTATGATGTTTCAAAATGCTCTCTGCTGGTGATGTCACATCAGAGAGTGCTGGAGCCTATTACCTGGGAGGATAAAGAAAATCTTGTTTAATTTCTCCAGGACTGTAGCGCTTTAAATGTTTATTTTTAATACACGAGTCAGAGAGAGGCAGCATGGTCAAATACAGCACTAAGAACCAGGAACTCCTAAATTCTAATCCCAGCTGTTGACTCACATTCCATTTGTGACCTTGGGCAAGTAAATTAAGCTCAGTCTTCCCATCTGTAAAATGGAACCAGCACTGTCCACTGGATAGAGCAGTGAACTGAACCAGGAGACTGAGGGTCTATTCCTGGCTCTGCCACTGACCAGCTATGTGACCTTGGGCAAGTTACTTCACACCTCTGTGCCTCTGGTTCCCCTCCCACCCATTTCTGACTTGTCTATTTAGATTGTAAACTCTTTGGGGTTTCTCACTATTTGTCTGCACATTGGGGCCTGATCTCAGCTGGGGACTCTAGATGCTACCATAATACAAATAATTAATAAAAAGTAGGAAAGGGTTAAAAAGAGAACTAGGCATAGGTTAAAATACAAAGAGAAGTCACACAAAGGCTAACCACAGTCAAAAAGGCAAAAGGGCCTGGATAAAAACAAATGCCACACACAGAAGGGATAACAGGAAAAAGAGAGAAAAGGGTTTGTGCTGTATCCCTCCTGTTCCTGTATGTTGTCCACTTAGGGTTAGATCCTGGAAGTGGATCTGTGTGGGTACATGGGTCTACCTGTTTGGATCCAGTTGTAGGATCTAGCTCTTAGACAGTAAGGCAGTGGTAGGCAACCTGTGGCCCTTGGGCCGCAGTAAGGTCTTTAGGGAGGGTTCGTCTTCTTACAGGTCTATGGAGTACACAGAACACTGTTGGGCATTATGTAAATAAAAGCATTACCTCCATCTTGCTAAGTCTTATGAAGATGAAAATTCCTACATAAGTGCTAAATATTATTTGTTAATCTACAGACTGAAAAGCACTTTGCAATAATGTAAAACGAAACTGCAGAATAATAATGAGGATGGCTTTCTTGTAATTGTTCATGGGGCACTGGGAGTCAAGAGGTCTGGGTTCTTTTCCTGACTCTGACACAGACTTGCGCATGTCACTTAACCTTTCTATGCTTCAGTTCCCCCTGTGTAAGATGGTGATAATTATACTTCACAGGGTCAATTCATTAAGAGACATCATCAAACTGAAACTGGTCATTTTCAGCAAAAGGAAGTAAAGCAGCTTTGTACTATCCCCAAGTTCCTTTGCAAAAATATTTCTTCATTACTTTTTTAACCAGTTGTTCCTATTTTTGATGTTTTTTTTCCTGTTACTATCAAAAAACCCTAAACAGGAGTGTGCATGCAGGTACAGAAGTTGCTTCTTTTACATGGGAGGAACACACATGTAATGGAAGCAGCTAGAGGCAAGTGATAATTCTTGGCTCTGGCTGTTTCTCCTCTACCTTGTGGAGGGGAACTCCAGCTGCTGCTCCCCTTGTCTATGGCTTTTGAAGGGTTTCCAGCCTGAACTATCCTTGCTGCTCTATATGTGGGTTAAGGATCTCCAATCCACACAGTCCCAATGAAGGGACTGAGGGTGGAAGTAACAGTCCCTGCTGTTCCTCCAAGCTCCATTCAGGAGTGGAAGACAACTTACATGGCTCAGTACAGGTAGTCTGAAGATAACCTGCTGATCATTCCTCTGCTTGCCTCCCACCTGCTATGAGACTGATATATTTTAAAAGGCAAACCATTACATTTGTATGTAAAAAATGTGTGTGTGTGTCCTCTGTGCCTGATCCCCAGAGGATATGAGTCTGTTACAGCTCTTAGCTTCAAAACCTGACTCTTTAGCTCAATTGCAAGATATTTAATAGATTCCAAGGCCAGAAAGGACCACTGTGATCATTCTAGTCTGACCTTCTGTAAAACACAGGCCAAAGAGCTTCCGCAAAATAATTCCTAGAGCACATCTTTTAGAAAATTCCTATAAGGCACGTTTTCTAGTCCTTTACTCATTCTCATTGCTCTTTTCTGAACGCTCTCCAATTTATCAACATCCTTCTTGAATTGTGGGCACCAGAACTGGACACAGTATTCTAGCAGTGGTCATACCAATGCCAAATACAGAGGTAAAACAATGTCTTTACTCCTACTCAAGATTCGCCTGTTTATACATCCCAGGATTGCATTAGCTCTTTTGGCCACAGTGTTGCATTGAGAGTTCATGTTTAAGGCTATGTTTTAGTCTAGGGTATTTTTAGTAAAAGTAATGGACAGGACACGGGCAGTAACCAAAATTCATGGCCCGTGACCTGTCCATGATTTTTACTATATACCCCTGAGTAAAACTTGTTGGGGGGAGGCAGCTGGGGGCGGCACAGATGCTGGGGGGGCAGCTTGGGGGATGCCATGGGTCCTGGGGAGGGGGGCACAGCCCCGGGGGGGGCACCATGGGTACTTGGGAGGGGTAGCCGGGGGGGTGTTTGTGCCTCGAGTACTGGTGGGGAGGGGCTGGGGCATGTTCCCTAGCTGGTTCCTGGGAAGCAACAACCTCCAGCGCCTAGCTCCACATGTTGCCTCCGCTCTGCCCCAAGCCCCGGTTCTGCAGCTCCCATTGACAGGGAACCGCGGCCAATGGGAGCTGCGGGGGCGGTGCCTGTGGGCAGAGGCAGCACGTGGAGCTAGGAACTGAGGGAGGAGAGTTCCTGTTGCCCTTCCAGGGAGCCCCACCCCAGGAACGCACCACCCTGCACCACAACCCTGAGCCCCCCCCATGCCCAAACTCCTGCTGCTGGGGGGCGGGCCCAAGACTGCCCCAGCAGCGGCTGGTGTGCCTGGCTCGGTGGCTGCCCAGGCAGCTCCTGGGCCACCCACACGGGCTGCTGCAGAAGTCATGGAGGTCACGGAAAGCCCCAGAACCCGGGACGTCTGTGGCCTCCGTGACAAACACAGAGCCTTACTCATCTTCAGCTGATTATCCACCACAACCTCCCAATTCTTTTTCAGAGATGCTGTTTCCCTGGACAGAGTCCCCCAGTCTATAAGTAGGGCCTATGTTCTTTGTAAATGTACATATCGAGGAACATTTAGCCATATTAAACCACAGTTTACTTGCACCCAGCTTAACAAGTGATCCAGATCAGGGGTTCTCAACCTTTTCCTTGCTGAGGCCCCCCTCAACATCCTATAAAAGCTCCAGGTCCCAGCGGTGGGTAGGAGGGACTCAGGGCTCCGGGCCTGGGGGCGCCTTGGGCATAGGCATAGTTTAACTTCTATTTGGGGGGGGGGGGCAAGGGCTGACGGGACTTAAGCCAGCTCCACACAGTGGGGTCCAGAGAGGGAGCACCACCTCCACCCCGACTCACTCAGGAGGTCTCCCAGCCTATCTGGGCTGTGGAGGGACACAACCAAAAAACTTAACTCAAAGGGGGAATTCAGTTCAAAAAGTCTGAAAACCGCTCAGGGTGCAGGGAGCGGGTAGCTAGGGGATGTGTGAAATGAGGGGTGTAGCTCAGGGTGAAGGGAGGGGATAGCTAGGGACTGTGTGCAGGCAATGAGGTAGCTAGGAGCTGTGTAGGGGTGGGGGGCTCCCAGTGAGGCTCCTAGCTTCAGTGGGGGGCAGGGGCTCCTAGCTTCAGCCTCCAGCTGCTCCTGGCTTGCTGGCTTCATTCCCACGCCATTCCTGGCTTTGGGGGTGCCAGTGTATTGGCACAAACTGCTCTGCTACACTGGTGTCAGCCCCACACTGCTCCCAGCTTTGTGGGGGTGAGGGGAGAGGCACCGGCTTCAGCCCCACACCACTCCCGGCTTTGAGGGGGGGTGGCTTCAGCCCTGTGCTGCTTCCAGCTTCAGCGCTAGGGCTTGAGGCTCCGGGTTTCAGCCACAGGGCCCTGCAGCACCCCTGAAAAGGCTCATGGACCCCCCAGTGGGCCACAGACCCTCCGTTGAGAACTGCTGATCCAGATCACTCTGAATCAGTGACCTGTCTTATTCATTATTTAGCGATCCCCTAATTTTTGTGTCATCTGCAAATTTTATGATTTTGTATTTTCTTCCAGGTCATCAATAAAAATGTTAAACAGTATAGGCCCTTCAGGACCCCACTGGAAACACACCCACCATGGGAAGGGATAGCTCAGTGGCCTGCTAAACCCAGGGTGTGAGTTCAATCCTTGAGGGGGCCATTTAGGGATCTGGGGCAAAAAATTGGGGATTGGTCCTGCTTTGAGCAGGGGGTTGGACTAGATGACCTCCTGAGGTGATATTCTATGACTTGGGGATGATTTCCCATTAAATAATTTTGAGATCTATCAGTTACCCAGTTTTTAATCCATTTAATGTGTGCCACGTTAATTTTATATCATTATAGCTTTTTAATCAAAATGTTGTGTGGTGCCAAGTCAAAAGCCTTACAGAAGTCTAAGTGTATTATGTCAGCACTATTACCTTTATCAACCACATGTGTAATCTCATCCTAAAGAGATATCAAGTTAGTTTGACAGGATCTGTTTTCCATATACCCATGTTGATTTGAATTAATTATGTTACCCGCCTTTAATTCTTTATTAATCAAGTCCCGTATCACCCACTCCATTACCGTGCCCAAGATTGATGTCAGGCTGACAGATTTATAATACCTTGTTTACCCTTTTTAAAAAATTGTCATATTAGCTTTCTTCCAGTCTTCTGGACCTTCCCCAGTGCCCTAAAACTTACTGAAAATCAACATTAATAGTCCAGTGCGCTCCTCAGTCAGCTCTTTTAAAACTCTTGGGTGCACATTATTCGGACATGCTGATTTCAAAATATCAAATTCTATATAACATTCTACAGAGATACTAGTGGAATGGAAAGAGTGTTATCACAATATGATGAGTCTGTATCATGTTTTTTCCCCCAAATACAGAACAAAAATATTTATTGGACACTTCTTCCTTTTCTGCATTATTATTGAAAACTCTACTATTTCCATCTAATAATGGACCAATACCATTGTCAGGATTCTTTTTGTTCCTAATATATTTTAATAACTGTTTGTTATTGTCCTTATCTTTGCTGGCCATAGATTTCTCCTTGTGCCCCTTAGGTTCCCATATTGATTTTCTACAATTCCTAACTTCTGATTTATATTCGTAAGTATCAACTTGCTCTGTCTTTTATTTGTTTATATATGTTATAGCTGCCTTCACTTCTCCTCTAAACCAAGTTGGTTTTTTAACCAGCACAACCTTCTTGCTCAGTTGTGGGATTGTGGCTTTTTGGGCATCTAGTAAGGTGTTCTTAAATGATTCCCAACTATCATTCACAGTTTTCTGATTAAATTCCTTCCTCCCGACTAATTTGGCTTCTATTTATTTTAACTTTGTGAAACTGGCCTTATAAAAGCACCAAGTATATATATTACTGGTCTGGACTTTATTCTGCTTGCACAGAATGTGATCAAGTCATGATCACTAGTACCTAAGCTACCATTAATTTTTAGTTCTGTGATCAGTTCCTCTTTAATTGTTAGGACAAGGTCTAATAAAGAATTCCCTCATGTAAGCTCCAGCACTTTTTGTGTTAGGAAATTGTCATATATAATGTTCAGAAATTCTAAGGATACCCCATGATCATGCATTTCCCCCCGTACAAATTATAGATAGGTGCGTAAAGAGGGGATTGTCCTATTCCTTCTTGTGACTTAGTGGTCTTTAGCAGACATCAACTAATCCCCATCTTGTGCTTTATGTGTTAGGACATCACTTCCTTCTGAGTTAACAGTGACTCAGAAATAGATAATACCATTTTTTATATAGATTGTCATTCCCCTTCCCCTTTTTCCTACTCAATCCTTCCAAAATAGATTATAAACATTGATTTTAACATTCCAATCATGTGACTCATCCCACCAAGTTTCAGTAGTACCAACTGAATTTATGCTCACAAATGAGCAATTCCAATTCCTCATTTGTTACCCAGGCTCCTAGCATTGGGGGATATGCAATTCAGTAATTTCTTCTCTTTGTGTCCTTTGGTTCTTTGATTAATCTTATTCTCATCATCTAAATTTTTGTGCTGAGAGCTCATATCTTCCCTCTTTTTACTCTCCCCTTTTGCTATAACCCACCTGGCTACTCTAGCCAGTCTGTACCTAAGTCTGGTCTCTCTTCTAGCAAGGAGAGGACCAAAAACCTATTCTGTTAGCGCTGAAATTCCTCAGTTCAATACCATGTGTTGGCCAAGATTCTGGTTGTCACACTAACACAGCATCCTCTATTTATTTACTACTTCAAATTTCTGAAATACTGCTATGTAGACATCAAAAACCAGCAGCTCCCTGTTATTGTGGGACTATTAAATGCCATATTTCAGAGCCTGAGGCAAAAGGACGCATATGAACTCCACTCAGAGCATGAGGATAATGCCATCCCTTGCTAGTCAGAGAAAGGAAATGAAACTGATCATCAACAAAAGTGAAACTGTCTCTGCCCCACCTGCTGTTGACTGCACAAAACAAACAAATGGGGAGGGGGGTGACAAAAAAGAGAAAGTTGTTTTTTTCTGATCTCTTCCAGTTCTGGTTAATTTCTGTCATTTGTAATCGCAGTGAGTCAGTATCTTCTAGACTTTGCTGTGGTTTTGAACTAACTGAGTCTCCGGGCTGCAGATGTGAAAATTCCTGATTTGTTTTAAATAGATGTGTAAAATATCAGCCCCATCATCGCAGTAAGAGACTGGGGGAGTGCATTTGATACCTAGGTCCACGGCAGGATTTCCAAGCTGCTGTGTGCCAAGTGCTTTGACACCCCAACGTGGCATGGCATCATGGCACCCAGCGAAGTGTGCGAGGGGTGTTATAGAGCACCGCAGGAGGTGCTGGGGCGTGTTATGATGCCCAGTGAGTGGGGCGCTTTGTGATGCTCCTCGAGGGGTGGTGGTGTGGAGCATGGCAAGGCGTGCGTTATGGTGCACAGCGAGGGCTGCAACATGGCACATGGCAGGGGTTGGAGGTGCGAGGGGCGTGTTGTGGCGCGGGCACCACCCTGACAAGCTCCCTGCACGCTGAGTCCCACCCAGGCTGGGTGGAGGGGCCGGTGGGAGGAGGCCTGCTTGGCCCAGGGTCCCCTAGGGCAGGTGAGGGTCGGTCAGCACGTCTCCGCCCCGCCTGAGGGCCGGCACGCCCAGCCTGCCCCATGCTAAGGGTCCCTCCCCTGCCAGCCCCACCGCTCACCGGGAGACAGGGGCGGAACGGCCCATTCGCTGCAGCCGTGGGGGGGATGGGAATCAGTCACTACCGAGGGTGCACAAAGCGGGGCGCAGGAGGGCACAGCCCAGACCCCGCCCCCTATCCCAATGGTACTTACCACCGGGGGTGGGGGAGGAGAGAATCATTCGCCGCCTGAGCTGCTGCTTCTGCCTCAACACAGGGCACGATCCTAGAAACTCCCGAAGGGGAGGGGCCAGAAAATGGGCGTGCCCGGCTGGGAGAGCCTCGGACCGACCCGGCTCGCTCCCTGGGACTGAGCATGTGCCAGGCATCTGCGCAAGTGCGCATGCTCGCTAACCGCCGCCGAAGCCGCTGAACCTGACGGTGCCCTCGCTTCCTGCCTGACGCGATATGGGGCCGCGGAGGGGCGGGGTGAGGCGTGGCGAGGCTGCGCCAGCTTCCTACCTTCGCGGGCTGGGACGGTCCGAAGAGCAGGGTTCGAATCCCGGCTGGCGCCAGCTGCGATGGAGGCAGCCTGGCGGACGCCGCCGCCGCCCGGGCTGTAGGCTGATGTGTGTCGCGCTGTTGCCGTGCCCCGGCCTGGGGGCTGAGGCGAGCTTGCTCGGGGCCGCTGCCGAGCGGGCGCTGCCTCTGGGGGTGCAGGGGACTCCTCGCCTTAGTGAGGACGCAGGAGGCGGATCTTGCCAATCTCTCGCCTTCACCTTGCCGGTGAAATCCCGCGCTGTGGGGGGGGGGTCCCGGCCCGGCTGATGCGGGAGTCACCTGAGCGCTCTGCTGGGGGCTTTGGGCCACTTTCAACAGCGCAAGCTGGAGGGAGCCGATGTAAAAGGCTCAGACTCAGACAATCATGAGGGGTTTTATATATATATATATATAGGTTATTTTGGGTTGCCTTCTGGGCGCTGAGCTGGCAGGCTGCCCTTGTTCACGTTTTCAAGCTCTTCTCTGTAGCCATGAATGACTGAAACATACTTTTTTGTTTTTTTCTAACTGAAAGCAGAGAGTCTCATTCAATCTCTTGCTCTCAGGACCTGGGGCTTTAAGAAACACCATGACATGTAATAAAATTGTGAGCGAGGCATCCTAGGGTGGTCTGTTGGGGCCAGTGCATAACAGCCTGGCTACAGGAATAAGGAGCACGTGGCTTTTCAGTGGCAGAACGGCTGGCTGGTGTTTGAGTCTTTGCATTGCAGGCATCCATGGACCCTTCCTGGGGAGGGGCTGGAGCTGCAGAGGTGCAAGAGCTGGAGCTGATGCTGCTTGATGCCCAAGAAAAGCCCGCCCACCCACCGCCAGCCAAAACTATGGCTTATATTCAGTTATAATCCCGATGAAAAATTAGCAGGAACTTCAAACCAAAATTAGACAAATTAAGGAGTCAGGCCATTAACGCAGTTCAGCCGTGCACACTGGAATGTATGAAGATGACATTGTGACGACTTGGGAACCGCTATACGATCTGTGAATTTTGTGTGAGATGAGGAACTCTCTGTGTGTATCTGTACCAAGCAGCAAACTCATTTTGAATGTGCTGCCCCTTTGCTGCCTCTGTTGTCTGTTTGCCTCCATGGTAGACTAAGGCCTTGTCTACACAACACAGTTTTGTCAACTTTCATTGACAAAATAGTGGAGGTGTACACACTGAAATGCTCCTCCTACCGATGTAACTACTCTGCTATGCCGACATAATAAAACCTCCTCAATGAGCGGCATAGAGTTTTTTGCAACTCAGTTAAAGTGAAGCAGTGTCAGTGTAGACACCTCACTTGGTTGTGTCGCCTAAATTGGCCTTCTGGGGATTTTCCACAATGCCCATCATGACCACTTTGGTCAGCAGTTTGAACTCTGCTGCCCTGAAGGTACACAGGTACGTGCCCCTCCTCTGTTTAAAGGCCAAGCTGTCTGCCGCCCCCCCCCCCAAGTGCTAGGCTGGCCCCTGTGCCAGGCTGAGTTGCTGCCCCCCCCACAGTAGCGCCAGGCTGAGCCGCCAGCCCCCCTGCCCCTGATGGCCTCCCCAGCTGAGGTCTCCCCCCCCCCCCCCCCAGTGCTGGGCCAAGCCGCCAGGCCAAGCTGCCAATCCCCTCAAGTGCCGGGCTGGCCCCAGCGCCAGGCCGAGCCACCAGCCCCCCAGCTGAGCCACTGGCCTCCCTGAGTGCCAGCCCAGCCCCAGCACTGGGCTGAGCTGACGCCTCCCACCCCGAAAGCCCTCCAGCCAAGCCGCTTGCACCCCAAGAGCCAGGCCAAGCCACCGACCCCGCCCCTGAAGGCCCTCCCCTGGCCGAGCTCCTGGTCCCCAGTGCCAGGCTGGCCCCCCCAAGCACTGGGCCCCCTTGCCCCTGAAGGCCCCCCATCCCAGCCAAACCGTCAACCCCAGTGCCCTGTCAAGCCTCTTCACTCCCCCGCCTGCCGCTGGCTCTCCACGTCCCTCCTCATTCCCCCATACCGGAGGAGGAGGGACGCAGTGAGCAGCGGGGACCTCCGGAGGTGGGAGTGGAGTGGAGGAGACACGGTAGGCACAGGCAGCAGCAGCAGGTGTTGGGGGTTTGGGGAAGGGGCAGGACCACTGCAGCCCAGGTGTCCGGCAGCGGGTCGGCAGCAGCGCCAGGGAAGGCTAAGGCTTCCCTGGCCTATTATACCCGCCACCCATGGGTTGGACTGGAACTGTTGTTTTTACTCTTGTTAAAGTCTGATCCCATTTCGTGCCAAGTGGTGTCTGGGGTTCAGCTGGAGCCGATAGAGGTGGCGATATCATCTGGGTCCCTCTCTGGCCTAGTCTAGTCAGGACATCTCTCAGGAGTAAAATGACAAAGGCCCTGGGTCCCAGGAGATGGTGAGGCTTCCTTCAGTAGCCTCCGTCGTCTTATTTTCCCTCCCACCCCAAGTCTCTTTCTTTAAGGACCCAAAAAGGGAGTGGTGGGTGATATAGTCCATCCCCTCATTAATTTGTCTACAATTAGGCCTAGTTTCCAACACACCAGTTCATTAATTTCTAGACCCACATTTTGTTTACCAAGGATGATCTCAGCACAGTCCTTGGGTTATAGCAATAGGCTTCTTTGTTTGGACTAATTCCATTTTTCAGTCTAGTTTTCTTGCCCCTGTTCCCATTAACATTTTTATTATAGGTTACTGTGACATCTTATGATCTTATATTCACTTATTACCATTGAACTCACAGTTAGAGTACATTTGTAGACCCAATTAGCAGAACAGGTCAAACAAACAAATTCCTGTCATTCTTCTCCTGTCATCCCATCATTCATCTGGCTTTTGCAAGCCAGTGCCATTTTCAAACTGCTGTCAGGCAGTGTGGAGGCAATACTGCTGAGCACCACTATCCTGATGGTTATAAATACACATAGCAGTTGTGCAGCAAGATGGCTTTGGATGACTTGGGAAATAGCTATGGCAGTGCCACAGTGATATGGGGTGAGGAAGACAAAATCTAGTAGTTACTTTTTGCATGAACTTTTCCTGGAGGGCTTTACTCAGTGGACTTTTCCTTCTGGCCTTGGTCAGCTAGCACTGATTGTTGGAATAGGATAGTGACGTACAACCAGGATGACAAGCAGTGGCAGCAGAAGTTCAGGCTGACAAAGGCCACTTTCCTTGAAATCTATGCGGCACTCGTGCTGGAGCTGCAGGGGTGGTACACCAATATGAAAGCTCCCCATCAGTATGAAGAAGCGCATCATCATTGCTGCCTGGAAGCTCACCATTCCTGATTACCTCTGGTCAGTTGCTAACCAGTTTGGTGTTGGCAGTCAGCTATCGAGGATGTTGTCATGGAGGTGTGTTCTGCTACCCCCAGTCATAAAGCTTGGCAATGCACAAAAGGATATTGATGGATTTGCATGGCTGGGGTTCCTGAATTGTATTGAGGCCAATGATGAGATCCAAGTGCCTATTCTTTGCCCCTACGACAGGCCTTGGAGTTCATCAACAAAAAGATGTATTTTTCCATGGTGCTACAAGGTCTGGTTGCTAAAAGTTTCAGCAATATTAATGTGGAGTGGTCTGGAAAGGTCCATGTTTCTGGGATCTTTAGAAACTCAGGCTTATTTTCTGCACTGAGAAGTGGAAATTTTGTTCCCATAAGACTGCTATGAACCTAATGGTCTTGTGATTCCTACTGTCATATCTTCAGTGGACATGGAGAAAATTGGTTGCTGTTCTCTTTAGAGTAGTCCTTAACATATTTGAAGACTATCTGGTCAGCCCTCAGTCTTTTCTCAAAACTAAACATGCCCAGTTTTTTAAACTTTCCTCACTGGTCAGATTTTCTAAACCTTTCATAATTTTTTGTTGCTCGCCTCTGGATTCTCTCCAATTTGTCCACACCTTTCTTAAAAGTGTGGTGGCAAAACTGGACACAGTACTCCAGTTGAGACTCACCAGTGCTGAATAGAGTAGAATAATTATGTCCCATGTCTTTCATATAACACTCCTGTTATGGTACCACCCAGAAAGATCTTAGCCTTTTTTGCAACTGCATCACATAGTTGGTTCATATATATTCAAGTTGTGATCCACTATAACCCCCAGGTCCCTCAGCACCTAGCCAGTTATTCCCATCTTGTATTTGTGCATTTGATTTTTCTTTCTTAAGTGTAGCACTTTGCACTTGTCTCTATTGAATTTCACCATGTTGATTTCAGACCAATTCTCCAATTGATCAAGGTTCTTTCGAATTCTAACCCTGTCCTCCAACATGCTTGCAACCCCTCCCAGTTGGTTTCACCTGCAAATGTTATAAGTATACATGCTTATCCAAGTCATTAATTAAAATATTGAATAGTACTGGACCCAGGACGGATCCCTATGTGACCCCTCTAGGTACATCCTCACAATTTGATAGTGAACTATTTATATATACTCCTTGGGTATGATTTTTCAACCAGTTTTGTACCCACTTTATATTAATTTATGTAAGGCTTTACATCAGTACCAGGCAAATTAGTTGAAACAATAGTAAAGAATAAAATTGTCAGACACATAGAAGAACATAAATTGTTGGGTGAAAGTAAACATGGTTTCTGTAAAGGGAAATCATGTTTTACTAATCTATTAGAGTTCTTTGAAGGGGTCAACAAACACGTGGATAGGGGGATCCGGTGGACATAGTGTACTTAGATTTCCAGAAAGCCTTTGACAAGGTCCCTCACCAAAGGCTTTTACGTAAATTAAGTGTTCATGGGATAAGAGGGAAGATCCTTTCATGGATTGAGGACTGGTTAAAAGACAGGGAACAAAGGGTAGGAATAAATGGTAAATTTTCAGAATGGAGAGGGGTAACTAGTGGTGTTCCCCAAGGGTCAGTCCTAGGACCAGTCCTATTCAACTTATTCATAAATGATCTGGAGAAAGGGGTAAACAGTGAGGTGGCAAAGATTGCAGATGATACTAAACTGCTCAAGATAGTTAAGACCAAAGCAGACTGTGAAGAACTTCAAAAAGATCTCACAAAACTAAGTGATTGGGCAACAAAATGGCAAATGAAATTTAATGTGGATAAATGTAAAGTAATGCACATTGGAAAAAAATAATCCCAGCTATACATACAATATGATGTGGGCTAATTTAGCTACAACTAATCAGGAGAAAGATCTTGGAGTCATCATGGATCATCTGAAGATGTCCACGCCGTGTGCAGCGGCAGTCAAAAAAGCAAAGGGGATGTTAGGAATCATTAAAAAAGGGATAGAGAATAAGATGGATAATATCTTATTGCCCTTATATATATCCCTGGTACGCCCATATCTTGAATACTGTGTACAGATGTGGTCCCCTCATCTCAAAAAAAAAAAATACACAGGCATTAGAAAAGGTT